CGAATACTTTACAACTCCCACTTAGCAACTTCAAACTCTGTGTGTTGGCAATTAAGAGGGTTTAATGACGGCAAAGCCTCGCATTCGACTGGAGCACACACGTCAGCGTCTTGTGGCCATGCACGGCTAGGCGGTTGTACAATCACATCACTGCTGTGTCATGAGTATCGGTGAGGGTCAAGGTGGGCGGTGAGGTATGGGAAGGTGATCCACTCTGACCTCGGGGTGTGTACGCGACCCCACAACTGTACACGCAGCCATTTTCGGACTGGTCGCTGATTTACTTGTAAGTAGGTTGACTAGTAGAATGATTGGGACACTGACTAAAATTGTTTAGAGTAGAGGACTCTACAATGATGGCATATTTTATTGCAATTGCAGAGGCTTAAATCATTCCAAATAAAGGCGTTATAGAACGTATTAATCTGCCTGAGAAGAATCGGTTGAAAGCACTGGAAAATGTCTCACTCGGAGGGAGCGCTTTTGACAGCTTTCATTCAACAAAGTGGAGTAAGTGGGAACGCATCGTTCTCATTACCTAAGAATTTGTGCAGTCATTTCTCACGAATTAAGTGGTTTATCGAAAACTTTGACATACTGATGTGAAGCGAGAATCTGCAGGTCTCCTGACACCCACCCAAAATTACAACGGCAGCGAGTTTACATGCTACAAAAAACATTCGCCTCATCGGGTGGTTCTCGATGCCTCATCGAGAATCCAAACACCACTGTGTAGTGAATTTCCCCAGACATCAAATTAACTTGGTAACTTAGAGGCTTTTTGACCACAGAGCTATCGTTCCCTTGCATGGAAATTTCAGTTGAAGGATCAGTAGCTCATGCAGTATGGAAGAGGACCTCTGATCGGAAAGTTGCGTGGCCGATGACGCTTTGTCATCGCCTCAACGCTACTCAGCCAAGCACGTGGCAAGAGGCGAAGTTGAGGGTATCACGTGGTTGTACAATTGAAGGGGAGACACTAGAAGGCAGCACCACCGAGTTGCTCCGATTCCTCCCAAGGGCAAACAGAGGCAGCAGAAAACTGCCACGGGTTAGAGACCGCCTTCTCCTTCCCCTTCTCCAGAGTCACTGACCTCCTCTCGGTGAGGGTGGTGGTGAACGATAGCCGTTCTCCACCTTAAAGGTACTCTTCTTCAGCAGCCGCCATAATTACGTAGACTAACGCACGAATTTCCATTCAATGTCATGCTATGAAAAATTGTACTTGCATTGAGACGTGCCGCGATCTGCCCACGCACTAAAACAGAATGTCTCCTGTTTTCCCACTCCCAAAGAAGACACTCAATCATCGCGCTCACTCGTGCTGGGGATCAAAAGCGTGATAGAGGATCATGGGACTACGCCTTTAAGGGCGTGAGGACGTTGGCACCACAAATGTGGTGAAGGCACGTAAGGCGACTCAAAAATACTCCTCTTTAAAAACCGACTTAATTACTCAGTCATTGGGTTTTGTCTTGGTGGCATAAACGAGAGACTGAAGACTGAAAGGGCAACCATCACCATGTCGTTAGTATGGAGTCAAGGGGGCCATCTTAGGACCTCCAAATGCCTGAAGGTGGTCGCCAGTCCCGCTTATTTTTGGCGTGTTAAATTGCCAAATTCTCTTAAATCGGCTGCTTTTTTTAACGTGGCAAAGCTATAAATGTCCTTAAAATGCAAACACTTTCAGGTGTTCCGGTGGACCAGCTATTTGGGTCAAGAGGCCTTCACTGCCTTAGTCAACTTCTTGGGACTCGCTCAGTCACCGCTCGCGACGTAGACTTCAGGCCACAGCGGTGATATTCCAGTCCTCCCGTCCACCGAACAAAGCAAGCAGCTTGCCTGGATATTGTATGTTAATATGAATGAATTAAGGCACTCGTAAAGGCCCTAATAAGGGTAAAAAATATGACGTCAAAGTACGGTGTTTAATGACCAAAGCAGCTTTACCCTTAGACTGGCCGGAGGAGCTCATTGGAAGGTTGGCTGATGTAAGTTTCTAAAAATGGCAATTATGTGAACAAGCGACAACTTCCCCACTTATCTACACATCAGGCTGAACTGGATTGATTACAGAGCGGAAATAGGGGATAGGTACGATAAAAGTGGATTCGGCTGCTCTAAAGTGTCCATAGGAATAGCAATTTGTGCTTGGAGAAGCGATTCTAGAGGGGCTGGAATTTGCCTCTCCATATAAAAACCGCAAGTAGAAGAGAATCTAATGATTAGCATTGCTGATCCGCTATGGTGGAAACAAAAGCTTCGGTCATGCAGGTATTGGCCATTTTGTTTGTTTAAGCGCGTTTTGAGTCGGCGTGTATTGTGAATTATTCACTTGCATGCTGGCAATCAAATTTCGTCAAGTAATCCAGTTTGACACTATAATAGTACTAGTTGCATAAGTGCAATTGATTAAATGAAAAAGTGTTTGTGGAGAAGACAAACCTTTCGGGGCGACCAAGGCTTAAACTGTCTCCCCGTTTCCACTACGCTTTTATCACTTTGTATACACAGTGAGATAGAAGGGCTCCTCAAAGTCCTCGAGGTCTATCAGAAGGTGAGTGTATGAGAACAGAGAATTCCCAAATATAGGTCACGAAAGCCCTAATGGATGAGAAATCATCACGAAAAAATTAGCCAGAAATGTTTACGAGCGAATGTTAGGTGTAAAATCATGTTGCGAATTCCGGGCCAACTTATTTATGGGAAATTATTTCTGTTCAGATCAAAAGTCGTGCTTGTGAAGAAAAAATCATCGTAACTTGCCATTAAACGCTAGGAATTATCGCACCTGTACGTTATACGCATGATATACCTAAGGCGGGCAGAATTTTGCACAATTACTAGCAGCGTGGCAATGTTCAGAGCTTTAAACAAATGTAGCTATTTTTGCTACCAGTAAAGACTTTTTTGGTTTAAAGAATAAATGGGTTTAGTTTTTCTGGAAACAATCTTATCAGACCTAAGAAAATAATCGCATTTTATTATGTTTGCGCAAAATAATGTGTTTTGTGCAAACGTAAAATTGGCAAAATTCATGTGCTTACAGCCTCATTCCTAAATTACTAATTATTGGTCTATTATTAAGGCGAATTCTGCCATCTATCATTGTCAATAAAATTAGCTTGCGTGTTAAGGGGAGCCAGTAATAAGTCGGTGCGTTTTGGAAACCCGCCCTTGTAAGGTCGCCCCTTCTACGTGGTATTACGTCGTAGAATGAATTTCTTTAATGATTGGTTCATTTCCCCGTTTGCGAAGGTTTTAAATTATCTTGGGTTATACCAAAAAAGTGGTAAACTTGTATTTTTGGGTTTGGACAATGCCGGCAAGACGACTCTCTTGCATCGTCTCAAAGATGACCGTTACGGAACTCACAATCCTACGCTTCATGCCACATGCGAGGAACTTACGATTGCTGGTATGAAGTTCACAACTTACGATCTTGGTGGCCATGAGCAGGCACGCAAAGTTTGGCATTCGTATATTCCTGCTGTGGACGGTATTGTTTTTATTGTCGATGCCAGTGAAAGCGAACGGTAAGAAAGTCTTTCTTGACAAGCTTATTGTTTAAGTTTCAATGAAGCTAAAGCTGAGTTGGATAGTCTTATTATGGATCAACAGGTTGCTAACGCACCAATTCTCGTCCTGGGAAACAAAATTGACGTGCCAACTGCTGTCAGTGAGGCCGTCTTGAGAAGTCATCTGGGCTTGGATGGCCAGGTAACTGGCAAAGGAATAGTTCCCAGAGAACACATCGCTAGCGGACGGCCCATGGAAATTTATATGTGCAGTATTCTTAAACGGCAAGGATATGGTGATGCTTTTAAGTGGCTGGCTCAATATCTTGACTGATTTTCTTTTGTTTTGGCAAAGACGGGTTATGTACTCGGCAGGCTTTTTTATTCGATCTCAAACACACGATCGCTTATCACTTTCGGGGATGTACATCGATGTTCAGTAGCAGCCTGCTGTATCTTACTTGTATTACCCATATATATGACATATTCTCTCCATGTATTCGCCCCCACCGAATGGTCTTGCCATTATTCCATGTCTCCCGGAATAAATTTTGCTAACACTTGGTTATAAATCGAAGTTATACATGTTGAGAAATCCAGACGCTGTGTTTATTAGAGGAGGGAACGCTAGGTTGTTATTATTACTATCGTGTTTACGTACCATTGCTGGGTGCTCGTGGAGCCTTAGACACTAAGGTTTGTCGTTTTTGCCTCCTCCAGTTTCGCTACTGTCACTGTCCCACCAGCAGCTACCTTTCGTCTACTTTTACTGGCCAGTGCATTGTTTATGCTGCGCCTTTGTTCTTTAATTTAACATAATAGGGTCATTATGGGTACGTTTGCTCGAACTCTGTGTGCTGGTCGATTTCGTTATTAAAATGTACTTGCTTGATCCCCTTTCAGCCTCTAACAAGGCTATTTAGTTCCATTGTGCCGTTGAAAATCAGTGTTTTCATAGGATTAGTAACTGTGTTACTATAGCAATATTCGGGTCTTTAGTGCGGCTTCGAGATTTGTTGATTGACCTCGTTGTTGACAAACGTGCAGCGCGTTGAAAGTCGGCACCAGTGCCGTGTCAAACTGAATTCGTTTATTTTTTTTCAACTTTTCAATTACCGATAAAGTTACTTCTGCCTTATCACTTGCTTACTTCTGTCAAATCCACAGTCGGTCTTCTGTTTTTTGCTGATGCGGTGGCTCATACGTCAAAGTAATTGAGCTTGTTAGAAAAGTGAACGTTTCTACTGAAATAATTGTTAGTAGCGATCTTAAAATCGGGTAATCTGATTTCGCAAATATCTGTGCCGTCTGCAAGTGCAATTTCACTGGAAATTGGGCTTCGGCTCAAACGGCAAACTGAGCAGCTATATTTAGGCACTGGATCTCGTGCATTTTACTCGAATCGGCAATTGCATTCATTGCCTACCCATTTATTCGACCACAATTTTTGGCATTATTATCGTAACTAGAGTAGGCAGGCTAAACGTCAGTAGGCACTTCCGGTGGTAGTCATAGCACCTAAACGCGAATCTTGGTCGAGTGAGGTCATCAGTTAGCTCACAACGAAATAAATTAAGATAATTAGATCATTTAAAGGAGGTCAATACAGAGCGTTTACATTCACCCCACTAATTGCAGATCATGTTCGCCACAGTCACCTACCTGCCCTTTGTTTATGCCCACGCTGCAAAAACGCTTTGAAATCGGGGCTTTAGTGTCAACACGTCCCCCCTCCGCCTTCATGAAGGTGGTATTTATGCAATGCGGATGTGAATAATAAGCAGAAGACTGGAAAATAGGTAAAATACAGTTTAATGTCAATCTCAGTGTTTAGGAAGCAAAAATTTTCTACTAACAGAAGAAGTGGGGAGGAGACGAAGTTAAAGAGAAAAGTGTCATCTTAGCACAATTTGGTTATATAATAAATGTGGAAGGCTACGCAGTCTAGTGCTCCGCATTTGCACAAATGGATTTGGGGTAGGATGGTGGAACACAGAGATCTGACTTACGCGGAAATGAACCACTTTTGGCAAAACGAGGTGAGGTGGAGGCAAGTCTACTGTCCACTGGGGAGGTGGAATCGGGTCGTTGGGTTTGCATCAAATCTGCCGGCGCTTGATTTATGTTTGTGTAGTCCACACCGAGGGGATGAAGCTCCTAAATCAATGCACCAATGAATACCAACGTAGTTGAAACAGGAGTCAATTTCAAAACTCCACCCTTCTGCGCCCACTAGTCGACACAGGCGGGTAACTAGGACCATTAATTTATTTTTCATTTCTGACACACACACACACTTCTGAGTCCTTTAATTACTAACCCAGAAATTTGGACCACTTCCCCTTCAGGCGGTCATTTGACTTTTCCGGACGCCACTCACTCACTCACTCACTCAATCCCTGTCACTCATCATTGCTCACTCCGATCAACCACGTGGTTCAGTTGTAAGCACAACATCACCGGATTACGTATTGTACGCACCTATCACCTGAGTACTTTGTCAATGTTGAAGTGCATTGCTTGAAAGCAAAATCTTTTTTTTTTTTTTTCTTTGGGGAGAGGGACACATTGACCGATGTGAAGTAGCAATGCTCAGAAATGCAAGTGACAAACCAATATGCTCACATTGTGCAATTGGAGCCGCTGTGAGAGAGTGGAGACAAAATTTTGCACAGCCTTGTAGATAAAACGATATTGTGTCTCAATTTGCACCATACCGGAACGCTGCTCTCGAACCGCCTGAACGGTGCGTGAGATGTCAATGTCACATTGCAGACCATAACGCTTAATGTAGTTGATAAGCATGTCTATCACAATGAAGGTGCCACTTCGACCGATGCCTGCGCTGCAATGCACTACCATTGGACCGCATTCCGCGAGACCCTCCTACAAAAGGCAACAATCATATTTGTTTTGATCTTTAGGGTCTTTGATGGTGCAGGCAATAAATTTGTGTATCCCTATAAAGCTCTCTGAATTCCTCGAGCCTACTAAAACACTCATAAGTTTACAAATGGCAAGTGACGAATCCACTCCAAGCATCAACTGATGTGGGAAGGTGATTGTTTATTTGTAGTCTGCATGTACATCACTTGCGAACTGAGACTGTGTTTACCCAAGTTTATACCCTCTACTGTCAACGGTATACAGTGGTGCAAAAAGTCTTACGATGCACACTTACGACTGTCTAGGCTACTATTTTTACCGCAAAGCACCACGTGCCAATGCGTCTAGGCGGTAGAAGTGCCTTCGGGCAAGACGACCAGGCGAGTTAACACTCTCCTCAAGTCATGAATGTGATAATTTGACCTAAGGACTTGGATTGGTGAATCGTCTGGACTACAGATGAGTGTACTGCACATTTTTATGCCATTCAACATCAGGAAAAAGAAAGAGCCATCAGTCAGTGGCATTTTGAAGCCGCTGCAACCTAATATTCACATTTAGATTTGCACTGTAAATGGCCACGTCTGAAACGTGCCGTGACCGGTTGCCTGTCTGACTGGGTTGGCCAGTCGGTCGTGTGGACGGTGTCAATGCAAATGGCAGACGATTGGAAGGTCTAATACTGCGACCAGGTGTGACGTTGCAAATACCTCCATCACAGCATGCGTGAATTGTGATGCGTTTTGCAGGTTAATACAGAACAGAACGCATCACTGTCAAGGCGGTTTGAATGCACCACAGGGTGAGTGCGAGTTCAAGCAAAATAGGTGCGACTCACCATGCGTTTGGAGATGTCAAACATGAAGTTAAGCACACAGGAGGGATCAGCAGGTGTCCCGTGGTCAGGCCAGGCATGAAATTGATAGTGGTAGACCACGAAGCCCTTGGCATCACCACTGGCGTTGTTGTTGTTGGTGGTGGTGGTGGTGGCGGGAGGATCGCGAGAGAGATGGAGCTCACGCAGGGTGTACGTCTCCAAGTTCTGCTCCGTAAGGTGGCGAACTCGCAGTGTTCCACCGTAGCTGGGCAATTCCAAAGTGGGTTGTGCCGGTGTTGGCCAATATCTCGAGCACTTATTCTACACACAGGGCAGTAAATGTTGTGATTGAAGAAGGCGGTTTTCCACCCACTTTTAGTTTGATGTCAAACTACACTAAAACCTTTGAATATGCACTGGCCAAGTGTGAAACCGTCAACGTACTTTGCAGCAACAAACTTCCACCATTCTTCATGCGAGCACATTGAATGTGGACATTAAATGTGAGGTAGTGATTAGTGGACAAGCCAGAGGCTTCACGTATGCTGTTCATCGAATACTTTGAATTGGTGATAAAGCAGCTACTTCCAGAGCATCACCTACAAGTCCAGTGTTGCTAGTGGATTGATGTAAACACCTACTCTGCCTCTTTCCACCTCCTTGGTGATCATGACGATGATAGCACTGTGCTCCTGCCACACCATGCGCCAGAAGTCCACAATTGTGTTCGGCAAGGTGCCCTGTGTGGCGATGTACCGCGGACCCGAGGAGGAGGATGAAGAAGACGGCGATAGAGGTGCAGGACTGCCTCTTGCAGTTTTTGGTGGCAAAGGATCCACCGTGGTTGAACCGCCAAGAAGGCTTTCAGTTAGGGAGTCCTAGCAATGAAAAAAAGTGGAGATGAACTGAAGGCCTGATCTGGTGCGCATTCTGCAACCTCTCGATAATCAAAAAAAAGAAAAGGGAGGGAAGGGGGGGAGAGGCAAACGGAAATGGGGAAAACATCGTGAATGGGAAAAACACTCACACGCTATAAAATGCCAGTCCCGAGGACATCGTTTTATTACCATCATTAAACAATGCAAAACAACAATGTTGGTAGCACAATTTGTAGAAATTGGTAAAATGCATGGGAAAGTAGACTGACCCATGCCTGGATAGAAAGAAGAAAATACTGCCCTGAGGTCAAGGCGTTGGAAGGGCACGTTCTAGCACATCTTACTCTGCAAAGGTGTCAACTGGACGATTTTGCAAACCATCCCATTGACAAGCAGCCAGGTGTATGCTCAAGACGTGATGTGTTTCCTTTTGCCTCTAATATATTGCTCTCTCTCTCTCCCTCACCTTCCTCCTTTATCCTCCTCATCCTTCCATTTCACATCTCTGGACAGCTCGTAGGGAGGAAGGAAATAATTGATGGGACGCGGTCAGCAAATAAATAAGCCCAAAGGGAGGCACAAAGACGAACAAAATCATGCAATGAAGGAGCAAACACACACACAAATACACATGCATAAGTCGACCCAACCAGGCACGTGTCACTTGTGCAGGTAGTTGAAGAGCGACTCTACTCCGCTCTCACTCACTCACTCACTCACTCACTCGCTTCCACCGCCATGTGTCCACACACGCGTTCATGTTGGTCTCTCGACCACATCACCAACACAACGCCAAAGTGCGCACGTGGCTGCGTGCGGATGTGTGTGTGTGTGTGTGTATGATCGCGCAATTGCTGACAGTGAGTTCACATTCCCACCAGCACACATGCGCACACACACACACACACGCACACACACACACACACACACGTAAGCACGCAAACGCGCAACTCATTCACGTGCGCATTTGGACGAGGGCAATTTTACGCTCTACACGCCGACAAGGTTGAACACCTAATCTTTGGCCAGTGGGGAAAATCTGTATCCTAAGCAAATAAGGGAGATTAAATAATGAGGTGTTTGGAGATGCCTAAATGCGGGTAAACAGCCAAAAAAAAAACAACAACAGAGAGAGAGAAGGAAAAAGAAATGATTCCTTTGAGGATAAAGGAGATGAAATGCATTGACCAAGTGCTTAACTCTGGTTCTTTCTTCCTTTCTTCAACGCAGTCATTCAAAGCGACACAGTGGCCTCGCCTCTGCAGCCTTCATTCACCGTCAGAGCAGTCGCCAAATGCCAACATTTGTGACAATCGAGGGCAAAAACAGCAAAAAAAAAAACACGAGTTAAAAGAACATCTGCCTTAATTGTTATTGCCGAGTAATAAAACTATGGGAGGAGAATTCAGCAAAAAAAAAGCAATCGACAGAAGGCCTGGGAATGACGCCCAACCTCGACAAATACCCCAACCCCGTGGTCTCTTGGAATGCTAATAAACTAGTCAGTTGTGAAAGGTCATTGCATAGTTGTCTATCGCTTTTGTGTGGAGATGTTGATTGTCCGAACACATGAGACCGCCTCCAGGCCTCGAATAGAGGCCAAATGGACAGCACTGAGGTGAGAAATGCTAAAAGGTGGCACCTCCACGACGTACGCCTTGCTCCTCCCTGTACTGTCAATTTCGCAACTCCACTTCCAGTGGAACAACCCAGAGGCATCAGTGAAATGAAAGTTGGACGAGTATCACGACAATTGAGCAAAGCGAGCTTCAGAGTGGATGAAAGGAAGGAATTTTGACAGCAAGCCCCTCGAAGCCGCCATCGGCAGGACTGAGCCCCAGGTCATGAAGGTGGAGAGGGAAGGGAAAGTTCAAAATGAGAATTTTTACGCATTTCCTGGTTTTGGAAAGGAAGGAGCAGATGCTAGCAACGGAAGGAATCCGCCCAATCAACAGCACAGTCGATCAGGAAAGCAAACAACAGCACAAAAAAAAAGGAAACGTGTAAACATAACACCCAAATAACCAGATCAACTGCTAGGGTCACGTAAACCATTTCTCTCCAATGAGTCATCAAAAAATGACCTGCAAAGGAAATACATGCACACTTGAAGTCCTATTTGATGCGTTGACCACAAGCCAGGATTGTGAGGGCAAGAGCCAAGGCTGCACTGGCATTTTGGTGTATTGGAGACACCAATTTTGACCAAAAAAGCCCATTTGATCTATGGAAAAAAAAGGGACGCATTTGCATATTGGATGGATGGAATTTTCTCTCCAAATTGCGTGCTCTCACTTGCATGCACCAACTAGGTGAGGGCAAACACCTTCGTCCTCCTCGATACTGACAAGTGAAAGGCTTTAAATTACCACTTCAGTTTGATGTTCACCTTGGAAGCACAGAAACGAAAAAAAAAAAAACCAAAAAAAGAGAAGCAACAGCATTCCACGTTCGGACAACCCTACGACCAGGTGGATGGTGGAGACAGTCCAATTCCAATCCAGCGACTTACTGGCCAACTGATGTAATTCGCATTGATGTAGTCGGAGCCAGGGATGTTGGGATCGCCGTCAAGAAGACGAACAAGGGTTGGATCGAAGGGGAGGATATTTTTATAGCGATTTTTGTCTAAATTGTAGGCTTTCGCTCCCTCCAGACGACTCCTGGCTTTGGTCTAAAAAGGAGCAAAGAAGTGTACCAACGCACCTCGATACACTCACTCGCCAAGTGCGCGGACATTTTTCGATATCTGCTTAGAAGTTGTTGAAAATTTCAGTGCTAAACCGAAGGGAAGTAAGGCTAGGTGACTGATAAATGTGAAATGGTGCTTTACTTGGACCAACAACAACATATCACAGTTATTATTTTTGTTCTGCTTCAAATGACATCGAAATCCAACAACTAGTCGTCTCCAGTTAGGCACGAAAAAAAAGTCAGCCCTCCCCCCCCCTCCCCCTCAACAAATGACTTTGCAAACACCTCTTCGAGCAACACCAAATCAACATTTCAGGGTTAAGTTTCAAGTCCCACAAGGCGGAAACGGAAGAGCCATATCACACAAAAGGCAGTAGAAAGTGAGAGGAGAATGGAAAAGTTGTAAAAAAAAAACATGTCACTAGCACTTTACGTGTTTACACAAACGAATAAACAAACAGCATTTGAAGTGGCTATGCAAAAAAGGCATACGAAGTATAACGCGCTTCGATGGCACTAAAAGAAGTAGCAGTGCACGCCCCTCCAAAAGGCAAGAGCAAAATCTAAGGCTATTCACAAAATCTGGCAATGTAGCCCCACTGCAATGGTCCTGGCCTAAGTCAAGGCGATTTATAAAGTTTGTCACTTTATAGGGAAAGTCATTAGCTTTACTACTGGCCACGATTCTAGTCACATCTCATGGCAAAGCAGAAACGACCATTCTGATGCGAGACGTGGACACACTAAACTAGCACCCGATCGGATTCAAGAGTCCGCCGGAGGTAGTAAAAACCTTTAAACTCCACTAGGTGGGGCATCGGCTGAGGGTGCAATGTGGAAGTGGAGCACTGGTGCTTGGACCAAAGACGGTCAACTGTTCAACACTCCTGCAATGTTGTCACTTCGTGTCAATACAGTTGTCAGTTATTTATTCTGACAGCTCACCGTGCAAGAGCTTGTACGAAGGAGAGTTCAATCTCAAAAACGTAGTAAATGATAATCGCGCAAGGAACGACCTTTTTTTGCAAAATACTTTAGAAATAGGACTTATTATCCAGTGGTGCACTATGAATGCACGTTTGTGAGTAAATATGAGAAAATTCTACTACTTAAGGTAGCGACAAACCAAACCAAAGGGGAGCAATGTTTAGTAAGTAGGATAATGCCAAGCAAATGAGTTAAACGTGGTCAAAAAGCAACAACAGTTGGGTGAGATCACTGAAAATCAGGTTAACCGGTCAGCTGATCCAAGGAACTCGAGTCACCTCGAAACACAACACCCAAAGTTCACACAGAAGGGAAAAGGCTTTTACAGCGTCATTCCACTCCCATTAATTAAAATCCAAACTTACATCATGAATGTCTTGATGCAACTCCTCAAACTCCTCATGAAAACCGGCCAAGTGCCTGCCATTGACATTTTCGCATTCAAGTTGTCGTATGCGTTTGTCTATAGTGGAGACGTTGAGACGAGTCGCATTGAAAGGCTAGGAGGAATAAAATCGACCATGGTAACAAAATCCCAAAGCACTGTTGCACACCTTTGATTTGTCAAATAAAACTTAGAAGTATTATAAAACCAAATGTGTGTAGCACCTTAAAAACACAAATGAGTGACGTTCTGGAAATGAAATGTCTTCGGGTGAGGTGGTTTTTGCACTAACGCTGTAACTTCACAAACGCAGTTTCATGAGACAAGTCCGCGCAAGTGAGAGGAAAGAGGAGCAGAGTTCCTCTACAAAGAATATTCGTCTTACATGGGGAGCAAGTGATGTTTCTTAGTTGAAGTAAATAGACGCCTGTAATTATTCGAAGTTCACTTAATTCGACTTGTGCCCCATCTGATTTCACCTGAATGCAAGGTTTTGTAGGCCAGTCAAGTGAAGAAACTAAATCGAGAAATAGATTGGCAAAGAAACTAATAGAACCAACTTGGCATCATGAAAGTCATTAATAGGATAGAAGAAGGCCAGAATAACGCTCTTCTTCACCAGAAATTGTGTTAATTTGCTAAAAGGACTAGACACTGCCTTTGAAAGAAAGTGGTCAATAGAATAATCTCCAGATTATTAAAACAAATAAACCTGAACAAACAGCAAAAAGCAATACCAATGCAGAGTAAAGAATGCGAGATTTCAGGAATTCGAGGTACTGATCTTCCAAAGATGGCGCATCGCAAGGAAGCCAATGGAGTCCGCAAGAAGCCTATTCTACTTTAGTGGGGCATCTGCACTAGCGTGCCGACAATCAAACCACAAATTATCGGCTTTTGAAGCCAAAGAAACATTAAAAGTGCCTCATGAATGATGATTATGAGATGAAAGTATCTTAGATGAAGAATGGGCAATTTCCTAACGAACACCAACTACAAGGACTGCACAATAAGTTGCAGTACAGTGCATACTAATCAAGCGATAAATATGAAGTATGAGTAGATACAGGTAAATGTAGTTAGACGACAATCGCACACCTGTTTCAGGTATACCAGTCCTCCATTCTTTTCGACCATCGGAGTTGCAGTGTAGAAATCGATAAGCTCTTTGAGCGTTAAAAACTGATGACCACCACCGGCATCAAATTTGTTGTCTTTTTTACGGTTGATGAGAATATGCGACACCTGATCACCGGTTGCAACGGAAAGAACATATGAACCAGGTTTTTGAATAGATTCCCGTACGAGAAAGCTACCATTTTTACCCTTTTCTAGTAAAAGTTTTTGCGCTTCACTTCTGGACATCGGACCGTGAAACCACCGAGAGCTATAACGATTCAAAAGTTGAACATTAATCAACTTGAAAAAAGAAAGTAGGATAATTTCAAGTGAACTATACAGAAAGTTCCACACCTTTCTGCCAGTGGATCTTGACAAAATAATGGGTACTTCAATTCGATTATGGAACCATTTTTTTCCTTCAATTCACCATGATTTTCACGATAGTAATCAACCAATTCGGAAAGGGTCGCAAACGTTTCGCCGCCATAGAGGTCAAGGAAATCCCCTGTATTCCGAATCCGGATGTGAGTAACACAGTCCTCTCGACGGACAGACAGGGTAAAGTTCCCAGGGTTCGTCCAACTAGGTCTCACAAGGAAACTACCTGGATCTCCTTTTTCAAGAAGTAGTTTCTCCGCTTGGATCCCCTCAAGATTGTGATGAAACCATCTACGATTTTTCAGCTTATATGCTCTTGTACCTCCTTCGCTCGATAACCATTATCTGCAGGAGTATACGATATTGAGCTCAGAACAATTTGTCAAAGGTCAACAAGTGCCTGTGGAGCAAAATTCTTTGGAGCAAGCCACTATTTCACAATACGCTCAGATCTACCGATACGTCCACCGGTTTAGTTGAACCGGTTATTTTGACCTCTAGTAGGTCAACGCTATTACTATTTCCAAACTCAGTCACTGCTACAATAATTAAATAATCAAGCTTACATCTGATTTTCAAGGGGAATTAAAACTGATTTTAATAATGCGAAATAAAATGTGATGGTGCTCATTATAAATACTTACCCTAATCACATAATTTGTTTTTCTCTTCGATCATTTAACGTGCGTCAGACTTAAACAAATGCCTCATACCTCAACGAAAGTGACACTCTCTTCTCTGTTCTGCAAAGTTGACTTAAATTTGTTTTAGACCTTCAGGAATGTGAATATATCTGTATGGGACGCTCGGTGTGCGTGGTGATTTGACCCTTCTCGACGTCAAACTAAACCGACGAAACTGTCTGTGCATTTGATTCACATACTCCCTCTCGTCCCCAGCACAAAAATATTACGCGTAGAGTGTTTACGCAGAGCCGATTTGGAAGAGAAAATTGACAACCGGAGAGAGTAGACTCTCAATGCGCTCTAAAGTTTGATCCAAAACAGAAGACTTGAATCCTGACCCGGCCAAGATACTCAATTGAGTAACCTCTTTTATTATGATCAGTTTCACAGAATGGGAACGAACATCATGGGACTTCCCTCCCTGTAGCAGAAGATAATGAGCACATCCCACCATCCGCATTTGGAAAAGCGGTGCTATTGCCCAGACTGGGGTCCAGCTCAGGTGCCTGCATCCCTGCGAATGTAGCAAAAAAACACACTAGACGGATGTGGTAAACTACACCGCATAATAGTGTTCGCTTTGACGTGAAGCTTTCGACCCTCCATACACATCCCTTCTATGGCAGCGTAAAAGACCCACTTTACAACAGCCCAAAAGTTTTTTTCACCTTCCAGGGGACTCCAACACCACTCGAAATAAGTTAATTTCCAAATCAAGAAGGTGACATATTCCTACAAATTGAAGCTAAGTGAGTTATAGACACCAGCGTAAGAAGGTACGGTATAACAGTCGACCGGAGTTGGTTAAGGCTTGTAAAGATTAGGAAAAATGATCAGACCAGCAGCACGTTCAACGTCTTTCAAGGGCACAGAGAATGTATTAACCTTAGTGCCCTCCGCGAATGCTTGGTTGGGTATCACCCAGGCGTAGGTCTTCCAAGGTCCTTGTGGTGTGCTTTGAACCGCGACCGCCTTGAAGAAATGAGTTGGGACAGCGACATTATTCTCACCTATCACTTCATAGATGACCTGCCGATTACCTCGTCGAGAAAGGACGGAACTTCAAAAGCAAAATGAGAATGAAATGACAAAACTCGCAAGCAACTAATGCCATTGTTAGACTTTAAGCAACCTCGGTAGAAACAGTGGTCCTGTGACAACTACAACGTTTGCCGATTGCCTTGCCATTGCTCGAATCTTCTTCTCCAGATCATTCCATATTCCACGGTTGAAACCATATCCAACCTAAATGTAAATCAAGTTTATCGTCACCTGGCGCATCACTTGCACCAATATGATCAAACAAAGTGATTACGCCAAATTCATGCGCTATCAAGACAGTTATTCTTACAAAAGCAGGCGTAAATAACAATGACAGAGTTGATATGAGTCAAGGTAGTTGGATATGCAGGAGTAAGAGGTACCTGTGGCGCAATATTGCTAAGGATGAATGTCTTCTCCATACTCTCGGCATTGAATTTATTGTTCCCCGCGGCAGCCATGTGGCCTCGATCAAATCCACTTCGGGCATAGTCCAAATTGGTGCTTCGGAACTCCGGCGGTTCACCCATGTCCTCCACGAATACAAAGCCCCCTCTAAAGTGCAAATAGAAAGCGTAAATGGATAGAAAGAAAACGATGAATCCACTATTGGATACAAAAACGGGTATTCTAGAGTTTGGTGACGAGAGGTACCTGTCCACGAGAGCCTTGTCATCACCATTAAAGTTTTTGTTGGTCAGGTGTTCCAACGTCCATCGGGGAATGCGACCTCTCCGGTCATAGAGGCAAAAGAATCCGGGCAAAACTTTCACACTTTCAACGCTGGGCAGACCTACCTGGGCAACGGGCACGGGGAGAGAAATTTGGGATGAGAATGTGTTATGGCCAGGTCCTTTGAAATCAGGTGAATCGAGAAGAGTTGGCAAAGTTGGCCTTGCAGCGGTGATAGGGGGATGACTTTGGTAGTCAAAGACAGCAGCAGTGGTCAAGCAGCCGGCAGAAAATGCTGCTGATGCCACAAATAGGTACTTCCCAGCCCGAGGCGAAAGAATGCGATGCATGTGTCAAATGCTGATTCCTGAGGCGACAAGTGAACAAATTTTAAAAGGTTAGGTGACAAAAGATACTTCGAGTAAAGACCCTGTCAGCCATGTGAAAGGGATGAATGGAATAATAAATTTAACCCTGCGATGGGTCTTTATAACAGGCGACGAAGCCACAGCGCTAGCAACAGTTGTTGATGAAAACACGAAGTTTATAAACCCCCAAGAAGCCTCAAGCAATTTACCGGTCGTTTACTTTTGATAGGCATTGGTTCAAAAGAATTTTGTCGCACATCAAACCGACAAGCATCCAGAGACAACGGAAAACAAAGGCATATAGAGTGAGCGAAACATACAATAGATTTTTATATTTCCGCTCAATTCTTTACAATGGAGACAAAATTATGCACAAAATTCGTGGACGGTATGACTGGACAATTAAGTTGACAAGGAAAGGGAGCTCATTTTTGTTCCTAAGGCGTCTAAAAGTGACTCTAAAGCGATGTTTTGCTTCCGATGCTGTGAAATGAGCAGAGCCAAAGGTTTTCGTATATCGTCACCCAAGAGATCTCCATGACGTTTGAGCAGAGACGCCACCAAGTCTATAGCAGTGGTCAAATTCTGAGGATTGCTGACCTCTGTGTGGACATTTCGCTCCACTGTGTCGCTTCGATCAGGCTTAATAGCGTCTAGATGCAAGAGTATGTGATTTACAGCCCTTGCCGAGGGAAGAACTAAGGAGGTGGAGGCTGTGCCGCTTTTTCGTGTCAGTGCAGCCAGAAGAAGATCGCAAGCCAGATTCTGCGCGCTGGGTGAGGAAGACTTCTGGCAACTCCTAAAGGCCAATCGTACAACAGACTCTGGTGGAACTGACGAAATCTCCTCAAAGTTTAGTCTCCAATTGGGTGGAGGCGACTGTTTAGTCAGCTTGTCTAAAAAAACCGTAAATGAGAATGCACAATCAAGTATCGTTCCTTTTCTTTAAAATATAAAAATGAACTAATTTGTACATTTTTAAGCAGCAAATTCTATGCACTCAGAATTCATAATAAAGCACAATGAACCCACCAATTAAAGCCGTAACTGAATCATCATTCTCCGTGTCGCTGAGAGCTGCTTTTAGTGATTCCAATATGGACTTTTCGTCAAAAGGCTGAACTTGTGGAAGGGACAGTGATGAAAACAATCCAGATTGTCCAAAGCTAGAAGAAGCAGGTAGTGTCGAGGTGGATAATTTCGGCGGGGCGAACAGTTTACTCGAAAAAGGAGAAGATGATTTGTTACCAAATAAGGCACCCGATGCAGTTGAAGCTGTCATATTCAATCCAGCAAACAAATTCTCCCTGGGAAGATTTTCCTTCTGCAGACTCGAAAGACAGGAAAGGAAACTAAAACCACTACCACCGGTGGTGCCAGTTTGGTTGGCTGAGTCGTCACCTTGAAGAGAAGAGCAATGATAGTGTAGACAATAAACAAAAAGATTTGAGGATGCTGCAGGATCTACATAAAGCATTATAAAGTCCAACGTAAATGATAGGACAGTGGTTGAGTGTAAGTGGATGTGAGTAGAGTAAGGGGTTTGCCTATAAGAAGGCTCTTTCAACCGTCACTGACGGAGAGAGCGCCCACCATTAAGTCAGCGTTAAGCTTTTATAAACACACCTGATGGTTTGTTTGGTTTCTCATTAGTGTCTTTTACGGTGACAAATGAGTTTTCCGCCTCATCATCCCCTTCCTCCTCTCCGTCCTCATAGTCGTCATCCTCTTCATTACCATTATAATCCTCCTGACTTCCCTCATCATTATCCGATTCAAACTCATATTCCTCGATCACATCATCTTCGTTGTCACTGCCTGCATCATCATTGAAAGCACGATGGTATACATCATCGTCATCATCTTCCTCTTCTTCACCGACCGACAAGGCTTCGGCCGCGATTGCGTGTAGGAGATTCTCGGCACTGAGGACTTGCAGGACCTCCTCAATACCGGCGGGACCAATTTCGTTGCCATTCAATGATAAATGAGTTAGATTAGACCTGTTAGCTAGACTGAAGGCCAAAAATACTGCGGCATCGCGTTTTATCTCATTGCCATAAAGACTCAGACGACAAAGGTCCGGGACGAAATCGTCCCGTTCGAGATAATGCGCCAAAACACGACAACCCCGGGAACGTATCAGACAATCATCAAGCATAAGCTCCTACAAGGTAATATGGTGACATAAAAGAAGGCAATCACAAAAAATTGTCACGTCATTGTAGCAATAAATGAGATAACAGTTGTTTTATTCACTTTCAAAAGTATATGAACAGAGTTTTGTGACAAATAAGGTCGGAAGTAAAGATAGGAAGATGAAACAATTCCAAAACAAACCTTCAGGTGAGGCAGCCACTTTAAGGTTCTAGCTACTTCAATGCCGCCTTCTTCCTTTAATGAATTATCGGATAAATTTAGTACACGCATCTGAGTGTTCTTGGAAATTGCAGAGGACAGAGCCTTAATCCCTTCAGAGCCGTGAATTCCAATGCCATTTTGATACAAATGGAGCTAAAGAGAATGGATGAATTTCAAGATTATTAAATACATACTTCTTCCAGCGATTGCATTTGTGAGAAGACGTCGGATAACAAACATGCCCCAACATTTTCGAGACGGTTGCGCCCGGCAGAAAAGTGAACTAATTTGAGACCCTTCCCACCGCTTTCCTTAATGCCTTTTGATAAAGCTTCAGCCAAATACTTAGCGCCTTGATGACCAAGGCCTTGGTTGTTCATACGTAAAACCTACACAATAAGGCAATCAGTGGACCATCACCTTTAATGTAAAGCACGCTGGGCTGCTCAACAGATCTGTCACGCCCACAACACCACGTGGGCCAAATGCATTATCGCTTAGGTCGAGTTCAGTAAGATGAGCACCAGATGACATTATGCCCACAGAAATTTGCTTCAGCGCGGGAGCGATCTCGTCGACCATACGACCTAAAGCAATAACATTTCTAGCAAACATACCTGTAAACATGTCGCTAAAAAGACATCGTTTCAGATTTTTATGCGCCGCCAATGCAGAGCCAATTGAGTGAGCTCCATCCACGCCGACAGTATTGCCCGACAAGCGAAGAGCAGTCATGGATTGGTGTTTGTTAAAGGCTTCCAAAATATCCTTCGCATCTTCTTCAGTGTCAATTTTAATAGACTTCCCATCAAAATCAACAATAATATCAGCATTCTGATCGAAATCCATCCTTACGTTATAAAACTGAACAAAACAACCTTGCTACCGATTTAAATATTGTAGGTCATAATCGAATAATTTAAACAGAGAAATTTATTTTTGCGTCTATAGAAACGCACAAGACATTGCTGAAAACATTGCTGCAGACATTTACATCTTTAGAATCAATTAAACAGAAAAGGGGTCCTTGTTGCTTTGGATCACAGCTAGAAGTGATAATGCAAACTTGGATGCCTTTAAAGCGACACACATTTTCATATTTTACGGCGCGTTGGTAGAATATTCGGTTTGTGAACTGGTCGCTGAGCCATGATGACAGGTATTGTCGCTTCGTAGATGCTTAACATTCACAAAGATTCCAAACATTTAGTATGCCTTTTAACCTTATTAACTTTTCAGAACGTTATGTTTAAAAAAATTGGTCACAAGCATTATTCTAGTATATTTGTACGATTTTCCATCTCTTGTGTATAACATTCACTGTGCATGCATGTTTATGTCATACAAATAAGAGAATCACCGACTTCCTAATAAAAAACTAAAGGAGAGATTTATATACTGTAGCGTCCCGAGACTTCCTAACCGGTATAGAAAGTCAGTAAGTGCGGCCGGATACATGATGTCCGTAGACGATAGGGCAAATAGGCCTGAGCATCGATGGAAGGCCAGTCCACGTGCACACAAGTCAGACAAATCCTAGAGTAACCGCCAATGTCACGTAGTCACAAAACCAAATCATTACATATACATATGCATATACTCATTTCCTTGATCTATACGAAAATCAATATTAACGAAAGCCTCAACTTTGCGTTTTGTCGATTTGTCTACCCGTGTGAGGGACGATATTTTTGGCGGACTTCTTGCATCCTTCGCGTAGATAAGGAAGGTTCTGGACGCAAAGACATGGTCTGTAAAATAGCATAAAATGATTTTTTTGAGTTTTGCACTTCAAACCTTAAAAATCTTTAACTAACCTCTCGTAACTTTTCTAAACATCCCTCTAGATAGTGAGAGGGATGGCACTTGGCCGAGTAACTTATATTTGCACAGAAAGGGTAAAAGCGAGGCTATAGTTTGACCCGAGGCCCAATTTATGCGAGAAAACCCCAACGGCTACCGGTTTCATCTGCACTGGCAGTTAAACTATTGCTACTAACCTTGTAGTACTTTGTTTATTTGACCATATGACGTTTGGCGGTCACTTTAGGATTTGGCTTGTCGCCTTCGGGAGACATGTGTCCAACTTCAGCAACTGACTTCTTATATCGGCCAAGGAGTCTCGGAACGCTACAAAATTTTCTCTTTAAAGTTGTGTCAATCGCTCTGCTTCCTCAAAAGTCTGAATTTTGCCGGATTGTTAACTTTGGCAGTCACACACAAAAAGGTTCGAAAAAACATTGAAACATGCAGCTTTAGCTGCTAAGAACGATCATCGGTGTTGTGCGTAGCGTCCCAAGATTTCCCACAGTGTAGACGAAGGCGGTAAGTGAAGCTGGATACATATATTTCCAAGAGGGCAAAGCAACTGGGCCTGAGCGTGGCCTGATGGACAGCCCACGAGTACAAGGGCCAGTCGAATTCCAAAGTGAACGCCGAACGTCAGGTAGTCAAACAAGCAAGGAATTACGTAGCTTTTAAGCAATATTGTGCTGCAAAGTTGGCTAAAAATTATTAGTTCACGTTAGTACTCCATGAAGCATCGATTACATTGCGGTGACCAAGGCAAAAGTTATGACAATGACAGCACTGAGACCACCTCCCAAGGGAAGTACTGTTTAATGAACTGGAAATCGGCTTATCCAACAAAGACAAGTTTGTCGGTCACCTGTCAAAATCGTAAGCATAAAGCAAACCACGAACTAACGCATCATATTCGTGTGGATGTATGTAACCGAATTTCGCCTCTAAAAACATTCAAATATTTCGTAAGATAGCACTTTGTGTGGGATTTTACACCCCAACTCTAGCTATGTTTAAAAGCTACCATCCGTTTAACTGTTTATGAATAATTTTTTCCTAAAGAAGTCATTTTTTAACCATGTAAAACAGTCATAAATTCCTATATTTATAAGTAAATCTTAAAACATTTGCAATGCTTTGTTTACGTGAGTGCCTGGCGTCTGGCGGTCACTTTAGGCTTCGTTAGGTTTTTGTCCTAGCGGGTTAGCCTTCAAGCCGTGCCCAGGTCCATTTGTTTTGTTTTCTTCGGAATACATGTTTCCAGTCTCACTTACTGCCTTCTTCCACCCTCTGGGAAGTCTCGTTACGCTACGGTTACTATATGCTATTAAGTCAATGGACGGCAACAGAATGCGTCGTAACTCCGGTTTCTTTTTCATATGTAGGAAGGACTGATGGCAGGGTCTAACACCAGTGCATGGGCCACGTGAGAGTAATGCTGGGAGTGACAACACTTGTTAGGCTCGAAGACCTGTTTGGCATAATAAAGCGTGAAATAGGACTTAATATACGGTATCATGAGCATGGGGAAGTTCTTGGGCTTTGGCTCGACTTCGAGGTTCGTCTATGCTAAATAGGTGGAGGTGAGTGTCACTTTGACCGCCAGGTGGACAGGCAGTCAAGTGGGCGAGGCGACACGCCGATCCCATGCCACATTCTGCTATATCCTATCGCGCTCGCCATCACAACGTGTTCGGTACCGCAAGAAAACACCTACAAACCTGGCACGAAAGTCAACAGTGGCAGGGAGACAATGGGATTGGACGTGGTCCTCTTAGTTGTCTACGTTCGGTCTGGAGGCTGGGATTGTGGCTTTTACTTCTGTTGACCATCATACGTGTGTGGAACCACACATCGAAGCACTGGCCAGATGTGTAAAAGAGAAAATAATTTTAAACTCTGTCCCAAATAGGACAGATTTCATCAACCACATCTTTACGCTAATCCTGTAAACAGCTTACCAGTAGAACACAGGGGTGAGACAATAAAAGACCAAAATTGGACGTCGTTTCCAGCTCTTCTGTCATGGATGATGCAGGCACTCTCCATCCCGAGATATCCACATTATTTCATACTGCGGAAGTCTGTCACAAACCGTAGACGCCTAGGCAGAAGTTGCTGTCAGAGGGGAAACCCTCGGCCACATCGCATTTGGTGGAAGCGAACACTGGGTAGAACTGAACAAGTTTATTCAGAGAGAGACGAAGAGGAGGGGGTGAAATATGAGCATCAAAGTGATCACTAGTGATACAGTTAGTCCGACAAACAAGGTGTTACCATGCAAATAACAAATCTGAAATCATTTATCTACATTAAGTTATTATTTTCATCAGTTTATATCCTGGTCAACCATACTACTTACATTCAATCAAAGTAGGCTATTTCCACACAATTTATCAACATCATAATGCATTATTAGTGCTCTCGCCTGTAAGAGTAACGACCCCTTTGGCTACGAATTTCTCTCCAGCATCCAAGTCATACTAAAACCCTTTTTCGCCACTTTTGTCGGAACACAAGTGCTCAGCCACATCTTGTGCCTTTCAAAGACTGAGAGGGATGCCTCAGGACGCCACAAGCACACTTCACTAAGATCTGAGTCTCAGTTTTCGGCGCCTAGTCGTGTCTGAATTTGGGCAGCAATCATTTTGAGCAAATATTATTTTACAGGGTCACCACAGGGTCATGATCGCGACTGTGACCCTGGCCACACGCGCTGCCTTAATTACTGCCGACCGTACGTTGGTGATTAACTGGCGCACGTCATTAACCCTTTTGCTTTGCAAAGCCACTGCATTATGTTGGATGGTAGAGGAAATGAAGACATTGCTGTCATGTGTGCATTACCACACATGTTTTCTCGAAAAGCGATTGGTTGGACTTGACATCCGCCTTCGATGCTTGGTTTGCAGGAGGGGCACTAATGCAGAAGCCACTACCTCAGGAGCTATCCACCCTACCTGCATGTAGGCATAATTTTTTTTTAACTCATGGCATTTTGTCCACTTTTGTACTGGCAAAGGGCAATATAGAGATGTGTGGTGAGAAAATGTGACGAGAGGGACAAAGCGCCAAAGCCTCACCCCACACGGCTATAACGTTGCCTCATTCATTATCGAATAACTACTTTTGGATGGCTAGACTTTATAATACTGACGGCTATGAGGAAGAGATATTTGGCTTGAGAAAACGCATCGAAATGAAAAAAAGGTGATAGCCTCTAGTGCCCTACCTCGCCTCGCACCACTAGAGAACCTCAGAGAATAGAACCTTGGGAAAAATGTTTCCATAATGCGATGCAAGTTAAGGACAAGGTCGGATTGCGCCTGCGAGATAGGTGGAGAGTGTCTTAACGATTATGGAAGAAAACGGCCTCCGTTCCCTCCCAAAGTTCTACTAACTTGCCCACGCCAGTATCAAGTTTTTCAAACACCAATGCTATCTTTCACACACAAAATGAGGAAGAGAGCAGGACAAAAAGGTCCTCATGCGAATACTCAAAGCAATGGAGGGCTTTATGGCTATAAGTAATTGGCTAAATTAGTTTATTAATAAATTTCATCATTATGAGCAAAAGTGCCCTCATTTTCGGTATCAAACGGCTTACTAAATATTGATACGTGGTTTTTAAAGTAAAGTGTCCATAAGTTTAACATTTAATTAGCATTGCAAATCGGGACGTGGTTTGTTTAAAAGTACTATTTGGATGTGAATTGTAGAGCACTTTTAAGCCTCGATTTTAAGTGATTGCTATTGGTCTTTGTCAAGGCTTTAAACGTTGAATCTTCTCCTTGCACCAACTCTCCTACGCGCGTTTCAAAAATGTTGAGAAATTCTTTCCCCCTGAAGTGTAGTTGACACGTAAGGATGTCGATGGTTGGTGTGCTGCTGTTAGGGCGATAGTACTTATTGTCGCTAACTCGTTCGAATTAAACTAGTGCTAGGAGGTATTTCGAGGAACTTGTATTGGATACAATGCCACAGGCAGTACACATGGGTCTGAGGCATTAGCGGTGACCTGTCTTCTATTTCCAGTGGCGCATATG